ACTAACATAATACCCAACTGTGCCAAATAGTCAAGATCGCAGTTGACAACTGTCGACCGCTCTGTATAGACAGATAGTTTGGAACTGACCCGGCGCGCCCACCCAAAGTAGTAGCAAGACTCCCCTTCCCTTTTAATTCTCCCACCTGCTGCAGTCGTCAGGACCCGTCAATCCCTTACACCTTACACGAAAAGGCCGCGAACAGCCGAAAAGAAAGAGAGAGAGAGAGAGAATGATTTAAACTATTAAGAGAGGGGGAGAGCCCTATGACCCGAGGACACTTAATAAGAGCAAAAGAGATGGAGATGTAGGTGCATGATAGAGAAGGAGAGAAATGTCTAGCTAACGAGAGCATAGAGAGAGACATAATAAGAGTTGACGCGAGAGCGATTAAATGTACTGACTGAAACAAAAGGAGAAAAAGGATGAAGGTAAGAAAGAAATTGACTGGCGCTTGCATGTGTGAATATGTGATGAATTTTCTGTAAACTCGGTGTGCTGCCACTTTCAGCATGCTACGAGGTTGATCCTCCACCGCTCACGAGGTGGCCTACGAATTTGAGTCGTTTCGACTAAACAAACAAGGTTATACTGTAACTCATATTATTTACGTCAATTATGTTAAAGCAAGAGTACTGGATAAATAAATAAGTACTAAAATGATAGCAATCACCTTTAGTGAATCAAAAAAATGAGAAAAGGCAATGGTTACATGAATAGAATGTCAAAAAATAAATAAAACTAGATAGTTGTTAATAAAGTTTATTTATAAAAGTAAGACAGATAATTTATACAAAGCAGGATTATTAATACGAGATTTTCAGCAACGTGAGTATTTGAAAAAATTTTATTTGTCAGTCGATAAAAGGCAAGTATTGAAAATCTTATAGAATAACTACTGCATTAACAATTTGGTAAACAACTTAATTTTGAATTAGCATTTCTAAATGGAAAAATAAAATCTGATGTTTACATTCATAAGCCACGAAACTTAAAAGTTATTAATAACAAAGTATACAAATTACAAAATGCAATATGTGGTTTAAAAAAGGCCAAGAGCTCGTTACGAACTATTTTATATTTAAAAAAAAAATTTAATAGTAATTATTTTTTGAATATATATAATGTTAGTACCAATCATTGGTTATAATTTAATATTTGTAGATGATTTATTAATATGCAGCAAAAGTTGAAAAAAAAAAAAAAAAATAAAAGAAAACGAAGATAAAGCAAAATTAATGAATCGATTGGCATAAAAGTTAACTAAACTACAATTAATCACTACCTTAAAATGTAATCAAGAAATTACAATGACATAAAAAACTCCAATAGAAACCAATGCAAAATTATAAAGAAGTAAAAGCCGTAATAAAAATGTTAAGTATCGAAATTTGATGGGAAAACTCCTTTATATCAGTACAGGCTCAAGGCCAGATATAATATATAATATAAATTATCTAAATAGATATCAAATTTTGATAAATCACCTTATGAGTATCTAATGTAAATCTAAGAATACTTGTATAAGACAAGAGATTAAAAACTTTTACATTAAAGAGATAAGACAACTGAAATATTAGAATATATGGTAGATTTGATTATGCTCGTGATAATATAGATAAAAGTTCACAACAGGATTTGTAATGAAAAAGTGTAATTATGTTCTTTTTTTTAAGACACTTAAGCAAATCAATGTAACAAAATGTTCTGCATTTTCAAAATTCACGGTATTATTCGAAGCTACAACAGAAATATTATTTATTAAAAATGTATTAAAAGTAATATTTAAAATGTATTTTCACACGCAAAAAAGTATGCCTGTAGATAACTCAGGAGCGATAGCTACAGTAAAATTTGGTAATCCAGCGAAAAATTCAGAGCATATGTAAGTGCAAAATCATTACGTAAAAGAAAAATTATGAAAAGGAAAATATTGATAAAATTAAAATTGATTGAAAAAAACAATTTGGCTTTGATACTAACCAAAAGTCTACAAAAATAAAAGTTCTTGAAGAACATAAGCATGTTACGACAAAGAAACTAAAAGAGATAAAAAGAAATTGAAATTTAAGACAAAATAAAATAAACAAATAAACTGATTATAAAATTGTAAACAGCTCAGGCTGAACATTCAAGGAGGCGTGTTGTAACACAGTGTAATATAGTGTTGTCTGAACAAACATTTAGAAAAGAGATGTAACAACATCCCTCAGCATGTGTTAACTAAAAGCTTAGTAAACATTATTTTGTAAAGAGTGGAAAACACTCACTAGTAGAAGAAAAAGACTAGAATTAGCCAGTTATATTTCACCAAGTGCTCAAGAAACATCGCTGTATTCACAATTAACTTATTTAATTACTTTTCCAAATATATCAGTTATGTATTAAAACACTAATCCAATGTCCATTTATTACTATTTACTTTGTCCTGGAAGTGGAAGATATAGTAACATAATAGCTTTTACGAGGTCATATAATTTTTTTTGTAGACATTAAACTGAAGGATATTAATATTACACCAACTTGAATGTTTTATACTGTTGTTAAAAGTACAGAAAAAAAGTTTTTGTAGAAAATTTTAATTACTTCAATTAATATACGTAGTTAAGATTCGAATAAGTTATAAAATACGAAAATTTGTATCTTTTTTGGTGTTCTTATTTGAAGACCTTTCTCATTTTCAGAGAATTGTGGGCTACTTTTTTTCTTTGTACATTTTTAATTGGGTGACACACGTTTCTTTCTACCATGCATTACATGATTACTAAATTCTGACCATTTGATTTATGAAATTCAGTACGTGGAATAAAATTGATGTTTATACTTTATATTTTGTTTAATGAAGTACCACTTTATTAATATTTGCAGGATCCGCTGCAGTGATTGTAAGTTATTTAACAAACGAAAGTTTAATTAGATTTCAACAAAAAAAATTGCTTGGTGACAGTAACAATTTATTTTTTTTTACTGAGATTTAAACACTTCGTCCAGTACATAGTCAACGACCTAGAATACGTATTGAGCCTTGATTGGCTAGAGATTGCATATCAAACCTATTGTCAATCGCCAACGGCAGACGAAGATATAAACCATTTAAAATAACGTTGCGAGTTGTTGTCTTGGTGGGACTGGCAATCATGAGAGGAGAACTGTACATGGACGCACAATAAACTTACTTTGTGTGTATATAGAAAAACATCCTGCAATTTGTTATTGGCGGTGAGATTGAGATGGAAATGTATGAAGCCTGCTATATAATCTTTCTCCTAATATAGGATAATTCGACGATGGATTCGGGCACTCAAGAAATAAAATACTGTTAATAGACATTACTACTTGAATTAACAACCTAAAAATTATTACTAACAGGAAGTCAGCAACAAATACAGTGAGATACATATTTATAACATGAGAATTTTAAATGTTCTCTTACAATCTTTAAATAGGGTTTCCAAGCCATACATTAAAAATATAAAAGTTTCTTACCAAACAGATTCTATCTCTTATCTTTTTTTTATTAATTTTAATTCTGAAGTTGCAAATATTTATGAAAAACTTTCAAATAGTATAGTTTTATGAAACTTCCTGAATGGTTTTAAAACTAGTCAAACATTAAATAGTATGTAATAAATAGTGCAACCTGCTGAGATAAGAGAATGAAGCACCAGGTTATTTCTTACTATAATTAATTATCGCTGTATTCTCATGAATATGTTAAGGATAATTATGTTAAGGATGCACGTGACTTGAATGGCGGTAGCTTGTCTTTTAGGAATTGATGTAGATAAGTGACAGATAAGTCTCAGATTATTTTCTGGAGAAATTTTCTGCGCTGCTTACGACACATGAGAGGTCTCATGATGCATCTATTTACTGCATCATAAATAATAGTAAAAGTTTCGCTGTGTTTAGTTTTGTTTCCATATGTACAATAATAATGAGCATATTGAAAAAAAATTTTTTCTTAGTATTATTAAGAGTTTAAAATTACTGGTAAACTTGGTTAAAGCACGAGTGAAGGCAGTTGGTAATGAACATATGAAACAATTAATTGGCATTGTATTTTTTAATTAGGTTAATGATGTGAAGGGGTGAATTTTTGAATAACTGTGTCAAAGCGATGGAGGACATGCATGCAGATAATTGTGCAACAGTACTAAGAATCAACTGTATAACTGAAATAACAATTTTTCCTTATGATTTATTTAGTTTCTTTCCTATAACAAGTGAGACCCTAAATCTTTATCTGTAGATAAGACTAAAATTAATTAACATAAAATGAACATTTAAGTTATGAACAGATCAAAGAGCACGCAGTCAGAGGATTTTACAAATAAATTACAAAGAACACGTAAATTATACATGTACAGTTTCACACGTGACCAATTAAAAATATGTTAATGTACTCCATACATATTGATAAATAACTTTTTTGTCGCTGAAATGATATTTTTTTGAGACATATCATTAAACTTTATTTAATCGTTTATAATCTCAATCGTTTTTTACTTTTGCTAAATAAGAAAAATTCTTGTATGTAAGACGAATGGTAGTTGATTCATAGATCCTTCTTACAAGATTTATTGTATTTTGCGACTTGTTGATTTTAAAATTGTATGGTGATAAAGGAATTGTATTTTTATGAATTACTCACTGTAAATTATAAAAACAGGTACATTATGTTTGCCATTTTTTTTAAATTTTAGTAAATACTTAAAATAAGTAGTGTTCTTTTTTCATACTGAATAAAAAGGTTTAAGGCTTAAGTTTTATAAGTAAAACCTAATTTAATAAGAATAAAAGTTAATTCAGTCATTTATTCATTCGTGATTATAAGAAAAAAGAAATGCTCTTTTATACGTTATAATGCAGTAATGTTAATTTTTTTATTCCATGAACATTAAAATAATTTTTAATAAACTTTATAATCTTTGTTATATACAATACTCTTTCAAATAATTTTCTTCAGTTGTATTTATTGAAAAAACCTCTATTTTCAGGGATTTATCTTCTAGAATGGAAGTAACTTTTTGTGATAAAACTCTGCCAAATGATGTTGGATTCATCCTGGAACTTTCTCAGAGAATTACATATGAGCAGATGGCAAAAGCAGTTGCGCTAAAACTAGGAACTGCTCCCTATTTACTGCAGTTTTTTAAATGTCAAAAGTAAGAATCTATGTACTTCACTAATATTTTCATAAATCGTAGAAATTTTAGGCTTTACATTGATAAACCCATTTCTGTTCTTTTGTGAAACAAAATATAGAAGTAACACGGACCCACAAAGAAAAAAAAAGTTTTTAAACTTGGCATGGGGAACATGTTTTCTTGCGTATTTTTTGGTGCTGTTACGTGAATTTTAAGAAAATCGCTGTTTAAAGTGAGGAAATCAAAGAAATAGTCTAAAACACCTTATTCATTATGTTCAAGTTCTTAATAAGCCAGGATCATTGGTATCTCATGTTTCAGAGTAAAAAAAAAAAAAAAATAAATTGCTTACATACCTACCCAAAAAATTGAGAAAATTAAAAGTTCTTATAACACTGAAACCTTAAATAGGTTGAAGGCTTATACCTCAATATATGTTTTATTCGATTTTTTGATCCTTTACGTATCTTTTTATCCTCGAATGGTCTGCGTAGTGGATTTCTTCTACGTTTTCTATTTTGTTTCTCATTTGTCTGTCTCTTGAGTTTCCCTAGCAATAGTTGGCCATCATATTTATCAAATTAATATCCCACCGTCCTTGATAACGTCTCTCTATTTCTTTAATATTCTGATTAAATCGCTCACCTTGCTCTTCGCTGAAATCTTGGTAACTTCCTATCATATTTTTCACAATTCTTACGTAATAATTATTCTTAGCTTTTTAAAAAAAATTTTCCACGATAGTTGTGAAACCAAGCCATGTTGATTTTTCAGTAGCGGTCCTAGTAGTACAAAAATTTCATCCCTCAACAAAGAACAGATTTGTGGTCTATTTAATACACCTTGTTGGACTTTGGCATTCGACAATTTATGAAAGGCATGCTTGATATATCTGAATCATTGCCCTTCTTTTTTTGGAGACTTAACGAACTGTTTTATTAAATCTAATTCAATACGCAAAGGTGGCAAAAGAATTTTACTCGGCTCAAAGAACGGCTGCTTTGTGACATTCTTTGAACCAGGCTGTAAAGATGTTCTAGATTTCCATTCTTTTTTAAACGTAATGTTTTTGAAAATCTTAATTGTTGACCCGGAATAATTTATGAAATGTTTAAATCCCCACAAATTAACGATTTTTGCTTTCATAATCAAGTTTTCTCAATACTATTTCTATGCTCGTATAATCTCTATAACTCTATGCTAGTAAGGTGAGCAACTGTTATTGGAGAAAATTTATTGGTATTGTGCAATAAGACACACTTGAGACTCGTTGTAGAGGAGTCTATGAACAACCTCTACTGGTCAACTTTTCATGTAACTGGTTTTAGTTCATTAATTAACCCATGTACATTGTGGCAATAAACTTAATTAGAGTCTTGAATGAAGAATCTCAGGTACTTTTTATCTCATGACAAAGTTGTAGTTGTGCCCATGGACTCACGTTGTGGCCGCTAATCACTTTGCACCATCAGGCTGAAAGTTACTTAGATTCCTGGAGTCCAAAGACTTTAGCAAGCAATGGTGATAAATAGTAGTTTTCTTGAGGGGCTATTTTGTGGCTAGAGGGTTTTCGTAGAGTAGCTTCGGTTGAATTATGATTATGTGACCTAATAGACCATATTTTTACGGGTCAAAATTTGCATTCTCTGCTAACTGAAAATTACTTTAGCCACGATCTCCGTGTTTGCTGCATTCGCCTACGAAGGTTTAGGTGGTACGATAGAACAAGGTAAAAAACCGTATACGCTACACGGAACAAAATTGCTTTTGGCTCGGGTGGTAATTATACACTAAAAGATAATGCCCCTCTTTTGTCCCTTGTGGCGTGATGCCGTAATATCTATTGTCTTACGTTGATAAACATGAAAAGTTTTAAATTTTAAACAATTTGATTTCTTTCTACGTACTTTTAAGCTTTTTTCCTAGTGGTACCTTAGCTTTTGATCTACTTACATTACTTTAGCTTTTGTTAAATTTATGGACACCAGCAATGAATTGTTTCTCTAGTAGTTTTTGCACCTTACCTTTAACTTGTTCATTCGTTTCTGTTACACTTCGTCTTTCTCCTTCTTCGACTTATTTTTCGCTGATTATTTTTTTTTTCACACTATTCATTACATTTCAATATTTTTTTACACAATCTGTAATAATACTCTTTTTGCCTGACCTCTCCTAAATTATCTTACCTTAACACCACCTACTACTCTTATATCTCATTTTATAATTGCCAGTGTCCCCAGTATTTTTCTGTTCCTATTTTTTT